AGGATTGTTGCAAGTTCAAGTTCAGTTTAGACTACACCATGAATTCCAGGTCAGTCAGGGCTAGAGAGTGAGACTGTCTCAAAACATCAGACAGAATTCTAGGACTTGAGCCTAAGTCTACTGACTGGTATCTGAATTCTGTGCCTTTCCTGGTACCTCATTTTTCAGGATATGTTTGCTGCTATAAATCTGCTAATCTCAAAATCTCTTTTAAAATTCTTTTTGATGAAAGGACCTCTGTCTTATTGCACATCCCCATGACTTAATGCATGCATGTATGCATGCATCCATCCCTTTATTCATCTAATACATACTATTATTGTAACTATATTTGATAGGCTCTAGAAACACAGTAGTCAGCAAGCATATACCCCTGCTTTCATGGAGTTTTCACTATACAGAGAGGGCAAGAATATTATATGAAAATATTTGTAACTGAAGGAAAAGTACTTGAGCCATGAACAGCTAATGTAGGTAGGTTATTTGGTTGAGCCTCGAGATTGGCTTGGTGATGATCATGAGACTTCCTAAAGGAAGTTGCATTTAAGCTGAAATTTGAGTTGTGAACAGTTGTTAATTAAAAGAAGGGGATATAAAAAGTAGATTGTAGACTTCATTCTCCTGTCCTTCCTTTCCTACATCACAGTTATGTATTTGGTTATTTTTCATTTTCATTGTGATTTTAAAGTGTGAATTAATAACTATTAAGCATAGTACTGAGTTTCTTCTCTCAGTGCTAAGGAAATATCAGTTATTGGACTGCTTGATAGTTTACGTAGTAAATCTTATCAGTTGCCAGGCAATGTGGCCAGGAGGATACCAGTTTTGCTGTTACCAAGTCTACCCCCATGTCTTTATGCTCATGTAATACACTGAACTTTTCCAAAGGGACAGCAGTGTATTCCTGCCTGAATGTTTATGTTAAAGCCAATTGATGCAGTATGTTACATGGAATAATCTCTAAAATTCCATGTTTGAAAATTATAGTTTATCAAGTTTTTTGTTTGTTGATTGGCTTGGCTTGGTTTGGTTTGGTTTGGTTTGGTTTGGTTGTTTGAGACAGGGTTTTCCTATGTGGCTTTGGCTGGCCAGGAATTTGCTGTCCAGAACAAGCAATTGAACTGGGTGAACACACAGGAAATTTTTCTTTTTCTTCCTTTATACTGTCATCTGTTGACCCACAGTTAGTATTTTATGTACTATATAGTCCTATAATGGCTACAGTTGAAAAATCCTTTTAAATATAATAAGGGAAGTTTTAGGAAATAAATATTATAATCTATCAATTTAGGTATATCATTTAAAAATTTTTTTTAATTAAAAAATATTTATTAACCACATACTTAGAAGAAGCATTTCATTACAACAGCATTGACACATTCAATAAAAATTTTCAAAGCTAAGATGCATCTCTTTCAAAATTGGCTGTAAATTTTTAGGTTTACAG